CATAGCTGCACACTGCCAGGCAGCGTGAGCGTGTCTATCAGCCAGGCAGAATGCAACTACATACTGGTACCCAAGATCATAAAACTAACTTAATTAGAAAATACTGGACATTTATATGTCCGGTATTTTCTCAATTTATTTACCAGACAGAAGCTCAAATACTGGACTATCTGGTTCAAAACCAGACACCTGGCCACCCTAACCCTTGCACACTGCCAGGCAGCGTGAGCGTGTCTATCAGCCAGGCAGAATGCAACTACATACTGGTACCCAAGATCATAAAACTAACTTAATTAGAAAATACTGGACATTTATATGTCCGGTATTTTCTCAATTTATTTACCAGACAGAAGCTCAAATACTGGACTATCTGGTTCAAAACCAGACACCTGGCCACCCTAACCCTCACCGGCTCCAGTAGTTACCTGGCACAGATGGCCGGGGAGACTTCCCTGCCATGAAAACTGAGCTGACGTCTGTGATACCGTGAGAACAACCCACCCAGCAATTTACACCCACATCTTTATAATCTCACACCCCCGGCGCTCCCAGCCCACTTTGCTCCCTCCCTACAGTTGGAACCAGTAGCACAAAGAGCCTCAGACCCATTCCTTATCTCCCCCCACACACACATACCCCTACAGCTGGGGAAACTGAGGCAACCTATTTAAGTGAGGCCCCCTTTGTCAGTGGTGGAACCGGGGATGCTGGGGCTGGTTTCCTGGATAAGCCACTAGCCCTGCTCCCTCACGTTCATTCTCCTTGCGTTGTCTGAGCCGCAGGCAGGCCGTGGCAGTGCTTAAAGGACCCAGCTGCTCCCTGAATGTGTTGGCTCCCTTCCGTTCCTATCTCCTGCCGGGAGGGCTACCCTGAAGACAATGGGAGCAGGAACAGGTCCTGTTTGGCTTGAGGCTGAAGGATCCAGGGCGGCACCCATAAATGCAGAACTCCCTCCTGCCAGCCGGGCGTCGTCCCCCGCTGTGCCAGGTGACCTATGGCACTGCCAGGATGCAGTGCAGGAACTGGAGTTACAAGCTTGCCACACCTGACAGCGCTTACAGCTCCCTGGCCAACCCTGGGTGAGGTGTGCCTGGTCTAAACCGAATGCCAGGAATAAGGGATACAGAATATTGCCTCTGTACAAATCCACGGTACGCCCACATCTTGAATACTGCATACAGATGTGATCGCCTCATCTCCAAAAAGATATATTGGCATTGGAAAAGTTCCAAAAAGGGCAACAAACATGATAAGGGGTTTGGAATGTGTCCCGTATGAAGAGAGATTAAAGAACCTGGGACTTTTCAGCTTAGAAAAGAGGAAATTAAGAAGGGAGTACAACAGAGGTCTAGAAAATCATAACTGGTCTGGAGAAAGTGAATACGGAAAAGCTATTTACTTATTCCCATACTGTAAGAACTAGGGGGTCATCAAATGGAATGAATAGGTAGCAGGTTGAAAACAAAGAAAAGGAAGTTTTTCATCACACAGAGCATAGTCAACCTGTGGAACTCCTTGCCAGAGGATGTTGTGAAGGTCAGACTATAACAGAGGTCAAAGAACAGCTTGATAAATACGTGGAGGTTAGGTATATTAATACTTATTAGCCAGGATGGGTAGGAATGGTGTCCCTAGCTTCAGTTTGTCAGAGACTGGAGAAGGATGATAGGCGAGGGATCACTTGATGATTCTCTATTCTGTTCATTCTCTCTGGGGCATCTGGCATTGGCCACTGTCAGCAGACAGGATACTGGGATAGATTAACTTTTGGCCTGACCCAGTATGGGGGGTCTTACGTAACCACTACTAACGCACAAAGCCAGCTGCTTTTCCAAGCTGACTCCATAGCTCTTTGCCAGGGACTATACCTGCTGCTCAAATTAGGCAAATTAAATCCATCAGTGCCATGCTTGTGTGTAGCAGGTTCCATAGGTAGGGCAGAACAAGCACTACCCGCTCTGCCCTGACGCTCATATTTAATTCCTATCGAAGGGAATGGACTTTAGAAACTCTTATCAATTGTTTGCATGTGCTATTTGATTTTATAGCAGGTGGCAGAATCCAGTAATAATTAAGAGCTTATAATTAGATGCATATAGCAGTTTTCCTCCTGAAAGAGGAGGAAGCACCTTGTACATGGCACTGGAATCACTTTAGTTATAGTCACAGTCATTCTTTTCCTGCTGCTGAAATGCAGCTGGTTCTGGTGCGGAACGCCGCCACTTTAGGCAACACATAGAACAGCACATAGCAGGGTAAGGCAGGAGAGGAGGCTGAATCCCAAACCTAATCTGTCCTGCAAGGGAGAAGCAGGGAAATAGAATGCAACCCTGCAAATTGCAAATTGGCCAGGTTGTAAGGCCCTGCAGTGGAGAACCGTGCCAGGGGATCTTTAAGGACTGTAGGTAGTTAGGACCTCTGGTTTACGTCTCATTATCTGGGGTGAATTTGCCAGTAAGACTCTTTGCTTATGAGAGTACGTCTACACAATGGGACAAAGTCGAATTAAACTACGCAACTTCAGCTACGTCAATTGCATAGCTGAAGTCGAAGTCCCTTAACTCGGCTTTGGACGATGTCTACACTGCGGGAAGTCGAGGGGAGAACACTCTTCCTTTGACTTCCCTTACTCCTCGTGAAAGCAGGAGTACAATCATCGATCAGAGCACCCCTCAGTTCCAATCAGCGGGTCTTCACTAGACCCGTTCATTCGAACCCTGGAAGATCGACAGCAGCAGCTTCGATCTTCCTTTGTACTGCGGATGTAACCCTAGAGGGCCAAAAAGAAATGTGTATATCGAAGTGCTGGACTCTCATTCAATTTTCTGTTCTCTCGTCTGTACACCAGGTGGCGCTGAGCCATGTGTAAATGTGCGCTGGTTACATATTTGTTTCACGTTTAAAAAGAAATTGATGGGGTTTGTCTTTTTTTTTTTTTTTTTTAATGCTGCATTGAAGTTCTGGACAGTACTTGGCTGTATTAAATAGGCACTCAGCAGCACCAGGACCCTGAACCTGATCCAGCTGCCCTAGACTAGAAAGGCCAAGCACAAGCATTCAGAAATCATGTTAGCCCCCTAACCCCGCAAATAAACTTACCTTTCAAATCTCTTGTTTTCCTTCTGGTTTTGGAGCCTTCCAGTTGCCCTGGGGTCACAGTTTCAAGCTGCTCTCTGTAGCCAGTCAGGCAAGAAATGGGCTTTTTTTTTCCTAATAAGGGCTGCTGTTTTCACTGAATCACCGGACTCCCGGGGCTGGGGATAGAAAAATATGTGCTGGCGAAGTTGTTACAGCAGCTGCTGGAACAGGCCCCGTACAATTTATTCTTTGCATTCTGATGGCACCTTGGAGGACAGAAAAGCGACCCCTGCCCTGAGCTAAGAAGGAGGGGGAGGAAGGCTTGGCTCCAGGCCACGCCACCCGGGGCTCCGACGGTGATTTTAAGTGGTCATCCTGGGTTCTTTTCAAATCATCAGGTCCTGGGGCAGCTGCTCCCTTTGCTTCCCCATCAGCAACACTGACCCCAGTCAGCACTGGGCAGGATCGAACCTGGGACCTCTGGAGCTCCGTGCCACGTGGCACTGAGCAGATGTGTGAATCTCTAAGGGCTAAAGAGTAACGGGTGGGATTTTTGGAAAGGCTTAAGGCAGTTAGCCAAGGGAAAGACTAGATAATTGCTGTGGAGGGCGACCAAAATAATTAGGGGGCTGGAGCACATGACCTGCGACGAGAGGCTGAGGGAGTTGGGTTTGTTTAGTCTGCAGAAGAGAAGAGTGAGGGGGGATTTAAGAGCAGCCTGCAACTTCCTGAAGGGAGGTTCCAAAGAGGATGGAGAGAGGCTGTTCTCAGTAGTGATGGATGGCAGAACAAGGAGCAATGGTCTCAAGCTACAGTGGGGGAGGTCTAGGATATTAGGAAAAACTATTTCACTAGGAGGGTGGGAAGCCCTGGAATGGGTTATCTAGGGAGCGGGTGGAATCTCCATCCCTAGAGGTTTTTAAGTCTCGGCTTGCCAAAGCCCTAGCTGGGATGATTTAGTTGGGATTGGTCCTGCCTTGGGCAGGGGGCTGGACTTGACCTCCTGAGGTCTCTTCCATGATTCTTCAATATTGTGGAGAGATCTGGCCCCAGCCTATTGTAGGTTCAGTTAGTCCTACAGCCTTTATCGGAGAATCCCTTATTCTTACAGGGATTCCTTACTGGTACCAATCAAAATAATCCTGCTGTCCTAAGCCCACTTATCCGTGAATTCAAGGGTTGCTAAATTCCCAGGCTAATGCCCTTCACTTGTTATCCCTGGATCTTGCTTATCTGAGCCCACCTGCCAAGCCATGGGAAGGTTTGCCCATCCTCAGCTCCGGCTGGTGAGCTCCATACAGGATGCCTATGCATGCAGGGGGCGGGAACCCAACCACTGCCAATTTGCCCCTAAGCCCACTTATCCGTGAATTCAAGGGTTGCTAAATTCCCAGGCTAATGCCCTTCACTTGTTATCCCTGGATCTTGCTTATCTGAGCCCACCTGCCAAGCCATGGGAAGGTTTGCCCATCCTCAGCTCCGGCTGGTGAGCTCCATACAGGATGCCTATGCATGCAGGGGGCGGGAACCCAACCACTGCCAATTTGCCAGCAATGTTATCTCCCTCCCTCCCCCCCCCCCCCCCCGTTCTGCT